TCTCAAATCCGGGACCAAAGCCATCCGGAAAAATCTGGCGGACGAACTCGTCTCACCTAGGATGAGTGCACGGCGTGAGGCGCCGCTTCGCCCCGCTCGCTTGCTCGCGTCGTGCTCTGCTCCTCTGCCCATCGTGCTTGCTCGCTTGACGACGACGGCGTGCTCAAGCGACGGCCACGGCGGATCCGGTGGTGGGGAAGGCGGCAGCGGCGAATCCGGAGGCGAGCTCGGGCGACGGCTGCGAATCCAGTGGTGGGGAGGGCAGTGGCGGTGAATCCGGAGGCGGGGAGGGCGACGGCGGCGAATCCAGCGGTGGCGGCGGCGAATCCAAAGGTGGGGAGGGCGGGGATGGCTCGGTGGCAGCGGCGAATCCGGAGGCGGGCTCGGGCGACGGCGACAGATCCGGTGGTGGGGAGGGCGGCGGTGGAGGGGAAGGCGGCGGCGATGGCGACGGCGGGCGAGGGTGAGTGCTGCGGCCACCACCCACGTCCACATCGTCGGTGTCTCTAATGTCAGCGCCACTTCTCCTTCCGCCTGCGCCACTGGTCGCCGCTCCTTCTTACGCTCACGCCGCCGGTTGCCGCTCATCCTTCTGCCGCTCCGCTCCTTTTTTTTGCTGGGAGTAACGTGGTGCTAACGTCACTCCCTACAACGAATTTACTTCTAATGTTGTAATAACTTACTTCCATTTTGTGCTAAGTTATTCTTATGATTTATGTAAATTAATTTTATACTTTATTGAATTTACATTCATAAATGTATTTACTTAAAAATCTTCTCTACACTCTGCTTGTGAATTTTCTCTACATAGTTGTCAGGATTATGGATACCACATACCTAATAGTAGTTGACTAAATCTTGGCAGGATCCACTACATACCATGTCTTATACAGAAACTGACCTCAAGGGAGTTCCGGATAAGGAAAGACAACCAGAGTTCTACATGGAAACGACAAGGACTACTTGGACTGTATCCATATTGGTTTCCCTAGTTCTACTTAGACAAGGGGACACCTATGGGTATAAATACAAGCCCCCTAGGAGGACAGGGGGACAACCATGACGAGACGATCAACACCCACCATGGGACAGAGAACCACCATGAAAGACACCCATGACAATTAACATATGCCCACCAGAAGCCACAACATACAAGCCAACATACGCCAAGACAAGCCGCCGGATATCGACATCAGAGATACGCCTGGATCGACCCTATCCGGTACCTTCAGAGGCCGGCCGTAGGGATCTAGCATTGAATCTGATTCCATCGGGTGCGAGCTCGAGGAGGAAGGCTACCCTGTTGTCGACTATGAGTCAGATCATCAGACCGCTATGTCGACAACAGTTAGATAGGCTACCCTACATATTGTACTAGTGTGATTATGGTGAATAAAAAGCAACATCGGCTCCAGCCAACAGGATGTAGGGCTATTACCTGATAGCTCAGGGGTCCGAACCTGTATAAAAATCCTCGTCTCCATCTCTTTTACCTTAGTCTCGCGTATACCCTAGCACCGATGATCCCCATACTGTCCAAATACCGTAGTCGAGACATCAAACGTCGACAGTGGCGCGCCAGGTAGGGGGATTTTGGTGCTTCAGGATTTCGACGAGATGGGTTCAAAAGATGGATTCTCCGACAACAAGCTACTCGACGAATTCAGCTGAGGGAGAGATCCAACCTAACCAGATCAGAACCATCATCATCATCGACAACTTGGTCTATTGAGATCATCCAAGCCTCAAGCCCCGCGGCGTACCAAAAGATGTCAGATTGCATGATATCAAACGAGTACGCAACAAGGTAATTGGTAGATTGGTTTTTTAAATTGATCTACTAATTTCGTAAATACATCTGGCATGTATCTACAAAGGTACGCAATATTTTATCTGCAATTTATCATACCTATTCAGATCATACAGTATTGTCAGATCTATAATTTATTATGTATACCCAGAGCATGTTCTTTATACAATAATATCTGTTGCGCGGGTGTCCCCGATGTTAAATTGACTACGATCTAACACTGGGGGCTCGCTCTGTCTTCTTCTGTATAAATCATGCTTGTTTACGGTTTACATAATGCCCTGACATTTACATCTGCTCGTTATGTCCTGATAATACTAGAAGATCCATGCAGTTTTTTGAGTACATACTCGATATTATCTGCTATATGTCTTGCCTTCTAGAAAATATTTTTCAGGAACAATTGAGCACTCGAGTAGGTTGTGGTCGAGTACGCTCTATTATCAAGAACATTCTTGACAAATGCGGAGTTATCGCACCCAACCTACCAACGAAGACCGGCGACCTATCTCATAGCATCGGCCATGGCTGGACTACTCGAGAAAAGGTTGTTAACGGATAATTCCTCGCGAACGCCGTCGGCTTGATCACCCGACATGATTGCGAACGGACATCCGGATATGCTACCAGTTGGGTGTGTGAGTCATGCTGGCCACATGAGACACACATGTAATAAACCAACTCTAGCACCTCCATTGGTATTCGAGAGATAATTCTACATGCTCGCTTGTCCTCGAACCAGTACGTAGCAATCTCTCGCACCGCAGCTTCCATTGGTGTTCGAGAGATAATTCTACTCGTCCGCTGGTCCTCGAACTAGTACGTAGCAATCTCTTGCACCGCAACCTCAGATGGTCGAGGTACGACTATAGCAATAACGCAGCGGTCCTTGCACCACGACTTCAAATGATCGAGAGACACCTACTCACTGGTTCTCAACCAGTCAATCGTAGCGATCTCTCGTACAATTACTTCTAGTGGTCGAGTTAGCGTTTCTCCCACTATCTCCATTTCAAGTGGTCGAGTTACGACTACTGCCTGGTGCTCGACCAGCGATGTAGTGTTTCTCCCACTACTTCCACTTTAAGTGGTCGAGTTACGACTACTGCCTGGTCCTTGACCAGCGGTGTAGCGATTCTCCTACTACCTCTACTTCAACAAAGTTGATATCAGGTATACAATATCGCCAAGTGTTTTACCCAGAAATCCCTTACCACGACGACACCTAGTGTTGAAACCTATCCTACTGTCCCTTTACGCCATCTTGACAAGGCCTTCGAGGAACCTAAGAGAACTTTGGCTGGGGACGCCCAGAGCCGATAAGGCCTTGTCGGATCCTGTAGAGACAAAAGACCATGTAAGATCTGGTCGTGTAAGAGTTCTCACTGTGCGTATTAACCAGGCCATGTAATCGGAAATTGAGTTTTCCAACTTCACGGCTGGGGGCTAGGATTAGTGCTTGTTCAACCAAGGCAGGTCAAGGGTCCAAGAGCCTTATCCTCCGAGAACGATTCTCCGACGACAAGGCTGGGGGCTAGGGAGAGTGTATGACTCTACAAACTGACTGATCGGAGTCGGTAAGAGAGAAGACGCTCATATACAAAACATTGGTCTGTAAATTTAATTCATTTACAGTTTTCCATACATATTATAACATGTCACCCTTTGAGCATTCGCTCGGGGGCTATTTCTATTTGATATTCTTTTCTGAGTATTGATTTCAGGAAAATTCTATTCGACATTGACGAAGACTCCATGTCTCTATGGTTCTACACCTAGATCGACTAAGGCGAGTACGACAAATGTTGACAAAGCTCCGTCGCACACTCTACGCCTTCTCGATCGCTCGAGAACGGTTGCTGGATTTCGACAAGGAATACGAAATGAAGAGATGGTGTACCCGCCGAGATAAAATTTCTTGACTTCAATCCAAATTCTCGATTACAGCAAGACGTGAGATTTAGTCGTACGCTCTATACTTTCTCGGTCGACATCAGAGATTGACTTAGACAAACCCTTTCGGTGCCCGCACGAGGCTGATAAAGGAAGTCTAACGTTATCTCTAGACTCACCGAGAATGGTCACGTGAGCTCAATAACAGTTCCTCCGAAGTCTGCGGTTGAGAATATGAACTCGTTCATTTGCATTGAAGTCGGGGGCTACTGTCAGGGTTATAGATACCACATACCTAATAGTAGTTGACTAAATCTCGGCAGGATCGACCACATACCATGTCTTATACGGAAACTGACCTCGAGGGAGTTCCGGATAAGGAAAGACAACCAGAATTCTACATGGAAACGACAAGGACTACTCGGATTGTATCTATATTGGTTTCCCTAGTTCTACTTAGACAAGGGGACACCTATGGGTATAAATACAAGCCCCTCTAGGAGGACAGGGGGACAACCATGATGAGACGATCAACACGATCAACACCCACCATGGGACAAAGAACCACCATAGAAGACACCCATGACAATCAATATACGCCCACTAGAAGCCACAACATACAAGCCAAAATACGCCAAGACAAGCCACCGGATATCGACATCAGAGATACGCCTGGATCGACCCTATCCGGTACCTTCAGAGGCCGGCCGTAGGGATCTAACACTGTCTCTGATTCAGTCGGGCGCGAGCTCGAGGAGGAAGGCTACCCTGTTGTCGACTACGAGTCAGATCGTCAGACCGCTATGTCGACAACAGTTAGATAGGCTACCCCACATATTGTACTGATGTGATTATGGTGAATAAAAAGCAACATCGGCTCCGGCCAACAGGATGTAGGGCTATTACCTGATAGCTCAAGGGCCCGAACCTGTATAAGAATCCTCGTCTCTATCTCTTTTACCTCAGTCTCGCGTATACCCTAGTATCGACGATCCCCATACTGTCCAAATACCGTAGTCGAGACATCAAACGTCGACAATAGTTTTTTTTATTTCAACTTAGTCATAACGTAATTATTTCTACTGTTATAGAGAGTTAGTTCTAGTGCATAGCTAAGTTACTTCTTCAATTTTAATAAGTTACTTTTAAATTAATAAAAATGTTTGAATATATTCAACATAGATCTTGTTTTGTCATATATTTTACGTAGAATACAATGATACAAATAAATCTTGAAAATAATATACAATTTAAAAGATATAAGTCATTAAAGAGATTAAAAAAAAGACATGCATCATAGGCTAAAGGGGTTTAAACATTCCATATGCATATCTTGTTTATTAGTTCCTACTTAATTAGTATACCCTTGTTCCCTCAATAGATAGATGGAGTGATGAGAGCTAGAATATATAGCATACAAAATTGTGTACAAATAAATAATTATTGCGAGCTGAAAAAGGGAAAAATAAAGGAAAAAAAGCTAGCTAGATGATCGATCGAGAGCCGGCCAGTAGGTAGGTGGCTAGCTATAGAAATCGGAGGTAACGTTTGATGACTTCATCGACCATGAGCTTGTAGGCCCTCTCCGTGGGGTGGTAGCTGTCGAAGAACACGTACTGCGGTGGGTCGTTGCACAGCGGGCTCGCGAAGTTGCAGAGCACGCTGGCTGCCAACCCGATGTATCCACAGCACGCATCCTTCCCGTTCTTGAACCCTTCATTTTTCATTAGTGAATTTTATAGTATGAAATAGAAGGAATAAATGGTAACAAAAATAACAAATAAAACTTAAATTAGTATACATATACTTGCAGTTAAGTTTGTTATTTTTTTACAACTAATACGTAGAAGTTAAATTTGAACTTCCATGTTTGTGGAGTGATATACTACATATTAATTTATCTTGTAAATTTTTTTAAAAAAATTTAAAAAATTTATTCATAACTATTTGATTGACATGTAATAAACAGGTGGACGTCCACTCGGGTAATTAAAAATCGTCTCCAAAGTTTGAGTGCTATCCGTGTGGATGCAAAAAGTGCATCATGATGTTAGAATAGATTATGGATCGTTCGTCGTACCTAGGGCTTGGTATCGGTGCATGACGTCGGCTAGGATGTTGTAGAGGTCGACGAGGACGATCTTGACGCCGGCGAGCTTCGCGTTGAGCCGGCCGATCTCCTGCCCGAGCTTGCGGTTGTACAGCAGCGCCACCTGGTTGCGGGGGGTGGCGCACTGCCGCCGCACGCCGCCGGCGATGATCCGCTGCGCCGGGACGCACCCGACGGGCGGCGCGCCGACGACGACGAGCAGGCGCGCCCCGCGGGCGACGAGCCCGCGGACGGCGGCGACCGCCCGCGCCGCCATGAAGTCGGCGTACTCCGGCTCCGTCATGCCGTCGGAGACGGTGAAGTGCTGGATGACGTCGTTGGTGCCCCAGCAGAGGAGGTAGAGCGCCCGGTCGGGGACGGCGGCGCCGGCGAGGCGGGCCTTGTACTCGTCGAACAGCTGCAGCTGCCGCTCCACCGTGAGCGGCGTCATCATGGTCCGGCAGGTGGCGTTGTCGTAGCCGCTCCCCGCCGACGCGAAGCTCACGCCGGTCTTCAGCTCCTCCGTGCTCAGGCTCTTGTTCAGGTACGGCGGCACCATCTCCTTCACCCCCAGCGCTGACGCTGCTCGCCATTGTTGGATCCATACATGCATGCAAATGATCGAATTAACATGTATAGAATTTATTTGGCACATGGTTCGGGGTGTGTCCTCTGGAGCACATCCTTCCACGATAGCCAGTTGTAGGTATCGATGAAAAACTTTATAACATTTTCTTTCTATCTTAATAACATTTGGATAACCTTCTTCTGTCATCCCGGCAAAGAAAGTGACAACAATATCATCTAGACGAATTACATGTACTATAAAATTGATATTTTAAAACTATTTTGAGGACGAGATCTTACCATATATACTCTCTGTTTTCAAGAGTTGAGTCGAAATATCCCAAGAAATATCAGTGGTCAAAGTTTAACGCATTTTTTAAGGGGAAGTTTAAACCAATTGACTGCACGCATTTAAAAAATCATCCATTTTGTAACAGGGACATGTAAAGCCGTAAAAATATGAATTAAGATAAAAAAATATTATGGATAAAACTTTTATATCTATGTTATACACGGTTTAAAAATAAATACTTCAAAATAAAATACATGAAAAACCCAAATCAACACTAAAATTAAATACTTACATTTAAATTTTCGCAACGCAAAGAGCCTCCGAGTTGTTACTGTCCCTAGGACATCGCAGCTAAGCTCTCGCGTCGCCCTCCCCACGGGCGACACGAGAGGAGACGCTGCCGCCGTCTTCTTCCTCCTCCCCTCCTCCATCTTTGCCTCGCCGCCGCTTGAGCGGGCGCCGGCAAAGCCGCACGCCCGCGGGGATGGCGGCGGCGGGGCTTCGCCCATTAAGCACTCGGGTGGCCCGGGAGCTGGCACGGCGGCGATGGTGGCAAACGTCCGGATCCGCGCCCGCCCGGCCGGATCCGGCGGGGACGCAGTTGGCGGCGGGGCGGAGTGGTGGCGGCGGCATCTGGCGGTGTGTGGTGGCGGCGGACAGGGCTGGCGGCGGTGGAAACCCGCTCAGATCCACGCCGTTTTGGCCGGATCTTGCGGGGCTGACGCCGAGCGACGGCGGGCGGCGGGGAAGCGGGCGTGCTGGTGGCGGGGAAGAGGCGGTGGCGGGGAAGAGGCGGTGGCGGCGACGGTTGCGCGGGCGGCGCAGCTGGCCGCGGGTGAGGCCGGGCGCGGGCGGCGCGGCCGGGCGCGTCGGTAGGCGGCGGTTGAAGCGGGGCGATGGCAGGGAGGCCGCTTCCCGGGCGCCGTTGAGGATGGCGACGGCGGGCAGAGGCGGGTCCCCCCGCCCCCTCCCCCCCTCCCCCCCGAGGGCGGATCCAGTGTGGGGAAGCTCGTGGTGGTGGCGACACCGCGGAGCTCGCGGCGACGTTGGCGGCAGCAACGGCACGGGAGCACGGGGCGACGTCGACGGCGTGGAGTTCATGGCGACGGTGGCAGCAGCAGCTTGGTCAGCGGCGACAGCACAGTGGAGCAACGGCACGGGAGCACGGGGCGACGCCGACGGCGTGGAGTTCATGGCGACGGTGGCAGCAGCAGCTTGGTCGGCGGCGACAGCACGGTGGCTGGTCGATGGCATTGGCGGCTGTCGGCTGCGGTGGCTTTGGGGTTCTCATGGCAGAGGCAGCGGCGCGGAGCTCGTTGTGACAGTTGCGGTAGCGGCTGGACGACGGTGATGGGGCTGCGGCTAGCCGGCGGCGAGGTGGCCGTCGGCAGCAGTGGCTGCAGTGGTGGTGGGAGGTGGCATGGTGGCCTCGGTGGGCTAGCCGAGGGCGTGGCAGACGGCTGCATTTCGCCAGCGTGGGAGAGTACGGTGGAGAGGTCGGAGACCGGCTTGGCGCAGAGAGGCGCAGCCAATGGCAGCGGAGGCCGGCTCGGCGCGAGAGGCGCGGCCGATGGAGGGAGGACAGATTGGCGTGAGAGGTGCGTCTGGTGGAGGAGGTCGGTTTGGCGCGAGAGGCGCGGCCGGCGGTGGAGGAGGCGACCCTGGTGCGAGGAGGAGCTGCTGGTGGGTGTGGCGCAGTCTTCGGCGCACGAAGGTTGGCCGGCAGGGGGCGCCGGTGCGGGGGTCCCACATGTCGGCAGAGGATGAGTGGTGGTGGAGCATCGGTGCGTCAGCCGTGGATTCGCAGGTGGTGAACGGCGGGTGAAAACCCAGCCCGGCCTTGGCTGGGCCGACAACGATGGTTAATTCCCCCTCCTGAGGGCGTTGTCGTGTTGTCTCACCCCTCAAGGGCGGTTGCCGGGTGAAAGCCCAGTCTTGGTTCCTTTGAGCCCCGACGGACGGCGGCGGCGGTTTTCCGTCACTCCTCTTTTTGGAGACGTCGTTTTTGGCACCCCCTTGCGTAGGGCGATCTCGTCTGTGTTCCTTTGTTGGTCTAGCGGCGGCCGGTCCGGTGCTAGCCTCCTCCTGGTCGTGTGTGTTGGCGTTGTCGGTTTGTGGGGGGATGTATATTTTTTCCTTTTTCCTGATTATGACCCTTCAGGGTTGTAATCTTGTAATTTTTTCCTGATTTATCAATAGAACTTCGCACCGTCTTGTGCGAGTCGTTAAAAAAAAATCGCAACGGCTTTTATAAGTTAAAAGAAAAACGATGAAAAGATAGATCTAGAAATTAGTAAATTCAAAAGGAATAAATGACAAACAGTTACGAACGAACCGAGGAGGTCGATGCTGATCTTGCCGTCGGAGAACCTGCCGGTGGCCTTGCCGCCGGGGAAGTCTCGGCCGTAGGGAGGGAAGTTGGAGCGGACGATGGTCGGGAGGTAGTTGTTGTTGCCCGTGTCCACGATCGAGTCGCCGAACGCCAGCACCGCCGGCACCTTCGCCGCCGACGTCCCCGGAGCCGGCGGCGCTCCCAGAATGGCCTCCACCGCCACCGCTCCGGCGAGTACGAGCACGAGCAGGTAGGAGATTATCACGGTGGCCATGGCTGGTAATGACAGTACTGATGAACTGATCAGAAATATTCAGATCGTGGGTTTTACAGCTTAATGATGAGTGATCTGATCACAACTCTCAGTGAGTGGAGAGGCTTTGTCCAGGTGAGTAGAGGTAGTTGCATGCAAACGCAAGAGACCCGGCCAATCTGCACATTTCTGTGTCTTTTCGTTTTAGAGTATTTGAGTTACTATCTCCGTTCCATGTTACTTGTCGTTTTGATTTTTTTCTTGTTTTATCATTCGTTTTATTTAAAAAGTTAGTGTAAATGTAAAAGAGGATAAGTTATACTTAAAGTATATTTGATAATAAAACAAGTTATAGACAAAATAAATAATAATTCAATTTTTTTGTTAATAAGAAAAAATCAAACATTAGAAAAAAATTCAAAGGGGCAAATAATATGAACCGAGGTTAGGCATCGCTCACCAACCCATAAATAGCCATAAAATTCATAAGTACAGATCTAGGCTAGACATGAGACAACCAATCGTTGTTTAATCTTCCAATTTCACTATTATGCACCCCTTCGTCCTGAGCACTTGACCGTTTATTTTTGTTACTTTTCGCTTGACACTCATCCCCTTCCTTGTGTAAGGGTGTGTTTAGTTCACGTCAAAATTAAAAGTTTCATTAAAATTGAAACGATGTGATGGAATTATGTGTGTAGAAAATTTTTTTATGTGACGGAAATGTAGGATCGAATCACAATAACTAAGCCAACCAGAGGGGGTGAATGGTTGGTATACCCAAAAACCGAAAACTTTTAGCGGAAATAAAAGTTACCCTCGAAATCGACGGATCGCAGTTGTCCTGCCGGTCTGACCACCTGGTTGCCATCGGTCTGACCGAGATTAGATCTCCGGTCTAACCGCCGAGATCAGCTGCCGCTCGCTGTCGCGGCCACCGGTCTGACCGCCTCGCCACCACCGGTATATCGCCAGTTAGACCGCCGAAACCCGATGAAACATAAATCGAAGAACTCTTAAAGTGGATGACGACTTTATTGATTTTCTCTGTGTTTACAAAGTGCACCAACAGCACTCCTTACAAAAATTTCGACTAAACTCAAAACCCTAACTCAAAACTCTACTCAATTGCTCTCAAAAGCGATACCGGGAAGCCTCACGCTCCCTCTCTATTTATATCCGAGGTAGTCAGCCTAAAGCCACGAACCAAACTCATACTAGAAGTCCTAAACACCTTAGGAAACCCTTTAGTACAAAAAAACAAACTTTACATAACCAATCGTACCAAATTTAGACTCCTTGCAAATTCGACTCCGCATCCCATACGCACACAATACCTCCATCGTATGCCATATGGAATCTTCACCAACCACGTACATCAACTCTAGCCTAAGTATCCCGCATGATCTCTGACCACCATGGACGTCGTCTTATCCCCAAGCCGACTCCTGGTCCATCACCGCAAATACTCTCCCGAGGCATCAAGTCACCTACACATGAAATAAACAAAGAAATAATATTCCGAGACTAAGCTATCTCCAACTTGACTCATTAGTAGCAAATAATAGTATTACATACGTATAGTATCCATCTAGAAGCCATAATCATGAAACAATCATGGATATCCAAACAAACAACCCGAAACCGAAACCGACACAGAGTCGGCCGGTCAGACCGCGGGCAAACCGACACAGAGTCGGCCGGTCAGACCGCGGGCTGGTCGGTCTGACCGCGCGCATACCGCCGGTCTGACCGGTATACCCTGCCCGGTCTGACCGGTCCTGACAAACAACAGTCCCTGTCAATCACCTATAAATTCCAATCATCTCCAAAACTACTTCGTGAATAAATTCCAAATAACAAAACCAATAATCTCTAATGCCAATTTTTCATCACAGAATAACAATCAAAAACACCTTTGATTTTACATGAAAAGTTAGAGGTTTGAAGAAAAAGTTTGGAACTAAATTCGGCCTAAGTGATTTTGCCGGTTGCTAGAGCCAGTTTGTGTGCCGACATGGTGTCATGCGTGGGTCCATGGGCACACCGGCGGACTGCTGTCGGTTTGCCCTGTGATGTGATGTGATAGATGTCTACTTGACGCCTTAGGGTGAGTTCGCTGGTTCTGTTCCCATCCAGCACGTAGTGAACACGAAAAACGGAGCAATTCATTAGCGCGTAATTAATTAAGTATTGGTTAATTTTTTTCAAAAATAGATTAGTTTGATTTTTGAAGCAACTTTCGTATAGAAATTTTTTGTAAAAAACATACCGTTTAGCAGTTTGAAAAACGTGCGCGCAGAAAACAAAGGAGAGGGGTTGCGAAAAGGGGCATCCGAACACACCCAGCCAGCATTCAGCAATGCATACTCCTTGCGTTCAAAGAAAAATCAACTTCTGGAATTTGAATTTTGTTCACGAAAAACCAAATTCTACCATCCCACATATCTTCAGCACATAAAAGTATAAAATGAGAAATTTTACCCCTTAAATACCATTTACCTACATATCACGTACCATTACTACTTTTCGAATAATGTGATACATTTTGGGTATTTTTACTCCCCACTAATTTTACATTGGCATGTTAGAATGGATCTTTTTTGGGACGGATTTTACATTGGGATGTTAGGATGGATCTTTTTTGGGACGGAGGGAGTAGGTGACTTAAAAAATTATACTCCATTTTGTTTTTTTGGTTCTTCGAGGCCTAAATATATTGATTGATTGATTATTACAACATATTTGGTATGGTATGCGTCGATTATCTTTGTCGTTCACCCAGCTACTATTATTTTATAGCTACGTTCGCCACTGTTGGAAGCTAACTAATGTGAAGACTCACCAAGGCACGCACAAATTATCGCATGAATCAAGATAATATTTGCAACATCAGGGGAGCAACAAGAATATTTTCCTTTATTTCATTTGCTGGAAGCACTTATTATTCTCTTATTACCAGTTACCGACAGCAACATCATCCTCAGATAAATCCAGGCAACTATCCAAATTAAGCCTTTCCCTCACAGCAAAAGAGAGAAGAATAAAAGGCCAAAACAACCGCAGTTCAGAATTTCAGCAAGAATGTGCGTATCTCCATCGGTCCAAGCTCAACAACAAGGGCGTGGCTGTCAACTGGGCCACCCTTCAATGGTGCAGGATCAGTTTTGCTCTCCCCGGTTACTCTCCAATTGAGCTTCTTCATCTCTGACTTCTTTTGGTTTGCAGATAGGCTAGTCTCAGTCAAATCTTTGATCTGTACAATGGATTTGAGCAAACATAATTAAATTAATGTTAGGTCTCATCTCTTTATGCTTATAATTATTTTACAGAAACAATTTCTGTTAATGCAGAAAAACAAGGGCTGTGTGAGTGTGACACATCACTTACTATCCTCTTTCCAAACAGCTTTCTCAATTCAACCTTTGCCATTACTGAATATTGTGTGTCCTCTTGAGCCTGCAAGTCCACCAATATAATAATGAGTATCATGGAGAAATATAGAAAGAAATTTCATATGAACTAAATGTATACCTGAAAAAGATGCGCCAATCGAAGGAGTGTGGTGCCATCATCAAGACTCTGAAATGTTGAGAGATGATTTTAAATGAATTTATCACCAATATAATGCTAGAATTTAAGAGGCAAGAAGGAATTTTTGTGATAACCTGCAAGGTGATGATTGCAACATTATCAGGAAGACTATAGTTTCCTTCTACCGTACTTGCTTTTGCAATATTGTTGGATTTCCAACTGCGTTCGTCCTGTCAGAGAAATATAGGCCGAGTTTAGTTCCAAACTTTTTTTTCAAACTTCCAACTTTTCCATCACATCAAAACTTTCCTGCACACACAAACTTTCAACTTTTCCGTCACATCGTTTCAATTTCAACCAAACTTTCAATTTTAACGTGAACTAAACACACCCTATAGCTGCTAATTGTAGAATCTGTAACATGATTTTTTAAAAGAACTGATACAAAAATGGTATAAATGTACCTCATGTGCAAAAGCAACAAGGAACGGTGAATAAACTTGTTGGCTATATGTTCGGCGCCAATGAGCTCCATGTCCTTTCTTATTGACATTGATATAGTAAGTTGCCCTGGCCTGTAAAAGTTTCTACCAGTCAGTTGCAAGATCTATAGAGAATGTGATATCAAGTTGTATATCATGAATAAAAGAGAGAGAAATTGTTTTAAATGAATGTCGTATACCACTAGCCCATCGCACTTTTGATCCACACATACTACTTCATTAAGTGGTTCCCCAACTCCTCTGCCATCGTCTGCAGAAAGACGCCTGACACAAATTATTCATGGTTAGATGTATAATGTGCGAGGGAGCTAGGAATATAATTTTTCATTCCACGAAATTATCGCTAAATTTCAAGATGTTGTAAATTAGAAACCTACGCAGTTAAACAATATAGTGAACGAACCTGGGTAGGTTCCAAAAATGATTTTTCAAAACTTGGGTTGTCACATGAAAGGATTATTTAGGATGAAAGGGTGGTGAAAGGAAATAGATTGGATTATAAAAGTAACATGAATGACCCTGGACCTTGACGGCGCGACGGAGTAAGATCACATCCCGAGAAGGCAGAGCCGGTGGAGACTAAGATAAATCTTAATCAAATACCTAATGACCAGGGATATGATCTCTCCTTATATAAATGGAGGACTCCTTCACCTAATCCACCTGACTCTATCCAAATGAGCTACGTACTTATCGTGAGGTCGTGAGGGGTGAGGATATCGTTCCCATTGGGCCTAGGACTCCTGTCCCAATGCCCATGACATAGGTTGGATAGAAAAGGCCCTTTTTCATTTTTGCTTTGGCCAGCTCCTCTAAATTCAAGCTGTATTTTGGTTTAAAAATAACAGTACCACATTAAGATATAAAAGACAACACAATTAGATTGGTGTCAACAGGTAACAGAAGGAATATGATATCGAGACCCTAATGGAAAATGGTCTGGTGCTAGATTCAGTCATCCAGAACTAGATCAGGATACTCCAGCCAATACCTGTGGAGCATAACTTCAATCTGACCATCTTGAATACTCGAAGCTCCAACAGCATGATCCACAA